CTATAACTATTATTTACACAAAACTCCAGTAATTTCTATAGCTTATCCTACAAATGACCGTAATAAGAATGCAGTGTTACTTCAAGAATCAATGAAAAATACCGATAGGAAAATCTCATCACAAAATTTGGACCCGAGGCATCACTGGAAAAGTAATGCGACAAATTCAACGACTAAAACTAATTGTTTTCCAGTGGTTGAATGTCAAGATTCTTTTGGGTCGAAATGTAAGCGGAAGGGTTCAAAAGTTCTTGAGCGTGGTGGTAAGCGTCACAGATCATTAAATGATAAAATCCGTGAAAATATTTCAAATCACTCTCCTGCAGATGCATTAATGGGTCCTGTTTTTTTACAAAATGTCAATCGTTTTCTGCAAGATCCTCCACTCCATCATTCATTCGACTTATATCCACCGATTCCTTCACCAAGGTTTCCTCAAAATCGTTTTTCGGGGAACTACACTAATGATGTAAATATACGAGGCCGGAAGTACTTTCGTTTTCCTTTGTCTTTATGTAAACCTGAATGTAGACCTATTCCGGATGACATTATTTTGCGATTCTTAGCTCAACGTCCTGATACCGAAGAAAAAATGAATAGTTTAAATCATGAAAATTTTTTATCAGATGCATATAAACGCACTTTTAGTCGAAACTCCTATTCTAATTATATTTCTCCTTCTCCTGTAAACCAAGTATCTCCCCTCGACCTGTTAACATCAAACCAGCCCTGTGACATGTATACAAATGGTTGCATAACACCTCCTCTTTATCACAAAGTCAGCGACAAACATTCTCTTGAATCCGGGTTCATAACCGGTCACAACTCTAATCAAAAGTATTGTGAGGAAGTTATTTTATGTAATCGACTTAATGGCGAAACACATGAAACCTGCTCGTATTGTAAAATGCAAATAATGTTACCTCAGAAAACATTCAAATGGAAGTCTCACGATAAGGAAAGCTACTTACCATTTTGCAGTTCTAGCTGTTTAGCAAGGTTGAAACGACAGGGACCTAACTGTATGACGTCATTTGTTCCTGATGCCAGCAATTTCGATATTCCCTTTACAGTTACTTCAACAATCGAATCTCAGCCGCTTATCATCTTATTAGTTAAAAGTAATCATCCTAAACGTATGAAGCAATCTTCTAAACGTCTTTCTTCTCAAGATTTACAAGTTAATTTCAAAAGAAGTCCCAACGAAACATCTAATCGTATGTTATTTGGGGTTAGCTCTACTGTGAAACGATGGCGTAATATTCGCTGGCGAAGACTTATTGGTAGCCCACCAGTATGCTCATTCAATGTTTTGCGAAGCTCTTCTGATTTGCCCATGTCCCAGAAAAGTTTTCTATCTAAAAAATTTTCATGTATCGACACTCGCGTATGCCAGTTATGCCATCAAATAGGTGATGGATCAAATGATGTAACCAGTAGATTACTTAACTACAATACCGATAAATGGTTACATCTAAACTGTATACTTTGGTGTTACGAAACCTATGAAACAGTTAGTGGCTCGTTAATGGATGTACCTTGTTCTTCGGAAAAGGCCTCGAAAACTCCTTGCACCTATTGTAAAAATCTGGGAGCTGGCTTACCTTGTTTTGATTCGGATTGCCAAGCCGTATATCACCTACCATGTGCCTATCAAATCAATTGTTCTTTTCACCCTGATCGAGGAATGTATTGTCCGTTACATCTTAAAAGTGCAAGTAATATACCCCACCTTGATAGCTTAGCTGTTGAAAGAAAGGTTTACATTTCCAGAGATGAACATTCACAGGTTGAAAAAATCATATCAGATGAAGATCATTTCACTTCAATGCAAAATGTTAAGGAACCAAAACTTAAATTACGTATAGGAACATTAATATTGCATCGAATAGGCCAGTTGCTACCTGAACAATTAGCTAGTGGAGTTTTCCATACATCGAATTTCATATATCCTGTCGGTTACTGGACCTCTCGAATTTATTGGTCTTTTCGTCACGTGGGTCAGCGTTGCCGTTATGATTGCCGAATAGAAGATTCAGTACGGCCAGATGATGTAAATCAGTCCCTTGTTGATCCTATTTTAGTAAAGTTTACTGTAGAAGTAATAGAACCAAATGAAGAAAAAATCTTCTTTGAAGATACGACCTGCGATGGTGTTTGGCGGAAAATAATAAATCGTATAAATTCGTCACGCAAATGTTCGTCGCTTTTCCGAATTTTGCAGGATAACATACAAGGTGAGGTGTTATATGGTCTTACAGAGCCTCATATTATTCGAGCGATCGAATCTTTACCTGGTGTAGATCGTCTGAGCAATTACCTTTTCAAATTTGGTAAACTGCAGTTGATTCAGGAAATGCCTTTAGCAATAAATCCTACAGGCTCTGCTCGATCTGAACCAAAGCTTCGGACTTATATCCGGCGCAAGTCTACTGGAGATGTTAACACTTGTACGTATATTGCCCACAACCACGTTTTTCTTGAAACTCCTGGTCATCCTTACAGTTCAGATATCGGAAGTCCCACTTACCTAAATTCTCTGTCTCCGAGCATGACCAGCAAATCTCAACAGTATCGTCGACTACGTTGGGATTGGAAAACAAATGTCGTCTTAGCGCGATCTCGAATACAAGGCCTGGGATTGTATGCTGCTCGTGATATAAGTAAAAGTACCTTCATTATTGAGTATCTGGGAGAGGTCATTCGTAACGAAGTAGCTAATCGAAGAGAACGTTTATATGAGTCGCAAAATCGAGGAATATACATGTTTCGAGTCGATGACGATTGGATTGTGGATGCAACTATGTCTGGTGGTTTAGCTCGTTATATTAATCATTCTTGTGACCCTAACTGTACTGCAGAAATACTCCACTGTGATAATTCTAACCACATAGTGATAATTGCTAGTAAAAACATCGAAAAAGGTGATGAATTGACATATGACTACAAATTTGACCTAGAAGAAGATCGTTGGGATCGGATTCCATGTCTTTGTGGTTCAATTAATTGTCGAAAATGGATGAACTGATAGTTATTTGCTTTAATTTCAAATATTTCGTACATATGTTCTGAGGTTGTGTTGTTGATGATGCCGTTTTCACATTTCTGTAAATTATCGAACTGCGCCTATATATCTTCTCTTACCTGAAATACTTCCTGTACTTTTCAAACGTTTATTTACTATACTTTCAAAATCAAACTTTCAGATATTTTTGAGTTAATTTTGTTTTTCTTCAACGTAGTTCTCGTTCTCTATAAGTATGGTCGCATTTTCTTTTTAACCTATGTGATATTATTTCCGTCATATAATCGCCAAATTCATTTAGTTTAATCAAATTTCAGATTTTCTTTATGTACATATTGATCCTTTGAGTTTATGTATAAAACATCTTATTGGCTGTGGGTTTTGTTTATTTAAACTTATGTTATTAATTTCTGTATTATAATTTCGAAAGTTATAATAAAATTGTCTATCAATCCTAAATTCTTGAATGGTTTTTTCTAAGTTAGTTACTGTTTGAATATGCACTGATTGGTTTGCATTTTGGTGATATTTCATTTAACTTTGACTATAAAATGCAGATTCCGTCCATATCCTCAGTTTATCAAATATCCTCTTGTTTTTTTATATTATATATGATCCTTGAGGTTTGATTTAACCTGAATTAAAATAAATATTCCTGCATTCAACTCAAATAGAGCCCGTAGAAATAGTAATGTATTGCAACACTAGTGTGAAATTTTTATTTATTAGTGTTAACGTAATTAATTGTTACGTAGGGGCTCGATACATAACACTGGTCATGTTATTGAACTTTGTAAGAATTTGGTAATGGCTGTGTGATTATTTCATTGTGGCTCAGTCAATTGGTTTTCTTCGAATTGTAAACAAAATATATCGTATCCTTGTTTTGCATCTAAAATTATTGAGGAATAACAGCAACATGACCACCTTGAGTATCATGATGATAAGTTATATTATTATGAAAATCTGGAACAAAGGATGATTTCTGTGATTACATTCCAATGTCAAACTGATTCCCGTAACTCTGAAAGTAATTAGTCACTATTTATCATGCGTAACCATTACCATTTTTTCATATGATGGGGTGATCTACAGTAATCTATTTTTGATTATAAATTGCATTTACTTACGTTAGCTTTACCTCAAAATAATCGCATCGACTTCTTTATTAATTATTCCTTGTTTAATATTCCGTTTTAGTCAGCTATTTTGTAAACTATTAATCTCACTGATCCCCACAAACGTACTTCACTTTGATAGTTAGCATTTTATGTCTAAAGTTCCATGTAAAGACGACTGCTTATATTGATGTTTGGACTATGTAGAATATTAAACCTAATGGTTAGTCGTTTGAAACTAATATGTCTTGATAATAATTCTCATTGTCTTTGATACGCGAGAATAAATCACAATTATCTTACATACTTTGTCGGGCAAATATCTAGGCAGAAACTGTTTTATATTAATTGACTATAAATAATGTATAGTATCATTACTGACAACATACCTTTTTTAGAAATGTCATCGAATCAAACGATCATGTACGAAAACAGTCATCAGCTTATTGTAAACCAAAGTACAATTTTATGAGAAATTGTTCTTGTTTGTAGTTGGTGAAATCGATTTCTGTTTCTATCCAACTGGTTATATTAATCCAGTTAATCTTTCGGTAAATAATTAAGTTTATCATGTTTCATAAGACTTATTGTGGTGGGATCAAAATTACAGAGTATAACAGCACTTAACTTTCAGAGAACAGCGTTTTTAACTCTATCCCATTGATATAAAAGTGAAAGCAGTAGTAGTAAAGTATAGATTACTTTTTTGTCACTGTTAAGACCGATGAACTATTGGTTTTCGGATTTGACGATGTTACCTTACATTACGTGTTTTTATATTCATATAATCATGATCTTACGTGACTTTTGTTTACTTGTGAATCTGTCGTTAATTTCATATTCTGTTATACATTATAGTTGACAAGATGCCAGATTTGAGCACCAATAAGAGTTCAACAAAGACTTTGATATCTGCAAAAAAGAACCCTCTCAAAAGTACAGACAAGGTTAGCCACTCTTCAAGTTCCAGACAACACGACAGAAAATATTCCCATTCTAAGATTACTCGAAGTCCACCTAGGCGACGTGCTAGACGAAGTCGTACGTCAACATCCAGTTCCTCAGATTCGAATTCGTCATCATCTGATTCTGACTCAAATGACTCTTCGGCATCGGACTCCTCAAATTCATCGAAGGGATCCAAAAAATCTAATCTTGTCCCAGGTTTGCGTGTAGCTGCATTGTTTTTTGCATATTGTTAATACACCTGTTACTCAACCCCAGCAGTATTTTTATATACTATTTAAGACTGTATCTCTCGAATCCTAGAAATATTTATCCCGTTTTATCAAGGTTTGTTAGTTATTTGCCTGTTAACTAACACGATAGTAGTTTTGTGTCCTTTCATTAGATATTTTGATTGCATACCGTAGTTAAATGAGGTTACGGTACAACTAAAAAGAGTAAACGTTTGTCCATGGATAAATAAACAAGGTATAAACTCCAGTGTATTCAGCAAATTAATCAGGAAATTTTTCAAATTGCTGTAGTGAAATGTACCATCTCAATAACTCGTGTATGTTACCTGTTAAAGGCGATTAGAGAGAGTAAATTTTGTTGGGAGCTCGAGAACTAATTCATCTATATGGGATTCAGTAGTTCTAATGCTTTAATTACAAAGGGTTACTGTTTTTCTACATTTCCACACCAATTATTGAATCATCTGATACATTACATCGACTCGTTTATTCGAGTTTTCTTAAGATATCACTGTCCACGTACTGAGTCTAATCTTTCATTACTGCGAATAATTTTTTTGACTGTATATTGCTTCATCACTTCTTGATACACACGAATAACTCAGTTACGTAATCAAAGTATAATAATTTGTTATTTACAGCACATCTATTAAAAGTGTGTTACTTATGGAGGTCAATATAGTTAAATATACCGATCGGATAGACATTTGGTCTCTGATGCTCCAAGTCCCGTTGAATCTCTCGCAAATTATGCATTAAAATTAAACATAGGAATATTTGTTAATTGTATGTTCCGAATCTTCCCTTCTCATTAGTTAAAGAAAAGTATAGGAATATCCTGTCTGTCACCCATTTAGGAGATATTTTTGCACATATATTTAACCTAAAGTTACTTGCTCAATATTTTGTTCCATTTATGTTTCTTAGTCTGTTCGCTAAACAAAATTCCTTTCTGCAGTACTAAATGCCCAAATAATTATTCATTTCAAATTTAGCTTCGGATACAAAAAACCTTAGTGAACGTCCTCATCCACCCGGTCAGTCAAGTTCTATCCATTCTAAAGTAAGCGATAAAACACAACAGATATCTTATAAATCATCGGAACCTGGTGATTCAAAGAAAAAAGTAGTCAGTGCATTAACGTCTAAGGATGAACTAAGCAAACCTGAGGGTAACCCAAAATCAAATTCAACAGATCACTTATTAAAAGTTCCAGATACTTCAGCTGTTACTGGGTCGACACTTTCGTCTTCAGTGCAGGATTCTGACGATAAGGTTGCAGAGACATCAAAAAATAAGAATCGGGATAAAACATCACATAATATTGTATCAAAGTCAAACAAGGAGAACAATGCAGAAAAACCTCTTCCTAATAACAATTCTGCATCCGATAGTCGGTTCACTCGTGTACTTATTGAGAAGTTGACTAAAAATATAACAAAGGTAATAGTCGATTTTTTAATTTTCTGTTTTCTTCAACAATTTCAAGAAACACGATTTAGGAAATCTGTTGAATCCCTCTGATACTTCAAGTCAATTTGCAAAACCATAATTATTATGTACACTTCTAAAATTATATACAATTTTTCAACATATAATCACTAAAATTTACATAGTTCTGATTAACCTTCAAGATCTCTATTATCATTTTTTTCGTATAATTCTAATACTAGTCACGTTTTAACAAACTGCATTGACAGCGTTGTCGTTTCTTGGAAATCCAAAATATATAGATTTGAAATAATATCCTGAACATAAGGGATATATTTTGGAGGTCGGCGTATGTAAATGTAACTTTCAGTTTTGTCTTTTCAGTATAAACATTTCTTCTTCAAATTTTTCCCATTTTCTTTATTACATTTTAGGTCCATATTCAGGAAATATTCTCCGTATGGGGAGAAATCCATTCAGTTGATCTTCCACCTGATCGTATTCACCCGGAATTTAACAGGGGGTATGGTTATGTTGAGTATGTCGATTCCAAGTCAGCCAGTGATGCAGTTAATTTCATGAATGGAGGACAAATAGATGGACAAGAAGTAAGAGTTTCTGAAGTTCATTCTCGAACGGCACACCTAAGTGATCGTGCAGGCCGTTCAGATGAACGAACAGGCTACAGGTAAGTAACTTTACATATTTTACCTAACATTGACCGGCTTTCATTACTGGATATGTAAAACGGTTTAAAGGCTTTTTTTCATTTGATCATTTTCAGTAGCACCCAGAACTACGATGCTTCAGATTGAATCTACTCTACTCGAGCACAACTGGTCGAGTGAGAGCTTATGGCGAACTGTCATCAGAATTGATTTCCTCGAGTGGTGTTCGTTAGGGTTGCCCACACTCTCCATTCTTGTTTAACTTTGTCATTGACATACTTTTAGAGATAACACTTTCCTCATCTAAATTTCCAAGGGTTGAACTCCTACCAGGAGATTCACTTGTTGACTTGGAATATGCCGATGACATAGTTCTATTTGGTGAAGACGCTGACAAAATGCAGAGTCTTCTGACCACTTAAAGCAACAATGCAAGTATGTTCGGGATGCGATTCTCCCCCTCGAAATGCAAAATGTTGCTTCAGGATTGGGTTGCATCGAGACCCGAACTAATGATAGGGAGTGAAGTAGTTGAGCGTGTCAACCGCTTCACTTATCTTGGAAGTCTGATCAGCCTTTGTGGTCTGGTGTGTGACGAAATCTCAGCACGGATACAGAAGGCTCGACTAGCTTTTGCCAACTTGCGTCATTTATGGTGTAGGCGAGATATCTGTCTATGAAACAAAGGATGTGTTTACTGCGCAGCAGTTCGTTCCGTCCCACTTTATGGCAGTGAAACGTGGCCAATAAGAGTAGAGGATATTCGTAGGTTACTAGTATTCGATCATAGGTATCTTCGAAACATTGCTCGTATATCCTGGGACGATCGAGTAAGTAACGGAGTTTGTTAGGAAACGGGTACTAGGTAAGGATGGCAAATCGATTGATGACGTAGTGAAAATTGATCAGTTGAGATGACTGTGACACGTGTTACGTATGCCCAACCATCGGCTGCCTCGACGTGCGATGTTTTATGACGTGGGAGTAGGTTTGAAGAAAGTTAGAGGTGGCCAGACCAAAACATGGCACAAATCCATAAAGTCACTGACAAGTGGACTGAGTCACGTTGGTAGGTGTAGACTACCTTGTTGGGGACCGTGAGATGATGGCAACCGATGGTTAGAGACCTTGAATGACATGGCTCAAAATTGTTTGCAATGGTGCAGGTGCATCCACTCTTTGTGTTCTCTCTAATTTTAATCTGATTCCTCCTTGTCTCTTTTTTCTCTTTCTAATGGCTTTTAAAAAGTAACAATTAGCTCTTGTCTTTATCACTTACCTTATATTGATACTTTCGTAACTGCTTCTTTAATGCTTTTTAGAAAAAGAGGCCATGATTCATCAAAACATGATCGTGCAAGGTCACATAATCGCGAAGGACATACTTCAAAAGCATTTAATGATTCCACAGAACATAATCGTGTGAAAGAAGATTCTGGTAAAAAACATGCTTCTCACAATCATTTTCGAACTCATGATAGGCAAGAGCATTCTCGAATTCGAGAACGCATTAGGGATCGTGAACGTGAAAGAACACGTGGCAGTCGTCTAGATAATGAACTCAAAAGAAACCGACGAGGAAGCAGTGGCAGTCCATTTGCAAGTCATTCAACTAATCGACCTCGTTCTCCTCTTACGGGATTACGTTACCGCAGACCTAGTTAGTTCATTGTTTTATTTCTTTCATTAAGATATTGAGTAACACATTTGGTTATGTAATATATTGTCGAACATCAAATATTTAAACGTAGGATAATCTGTTTTGCTGACTCTAAAGGGGGCTGTTTTATTTGTCTTTTTAAGTAATATAGTTAATTATGTCAGTTTTTAAATTTCTTTTTTCATGATCATATTTTAATTAATCAGGTCATTACAATACTGTCTTAAGTACTAGGTATTTTGATTTCTTAATGCATTTTTAAAATGTTATTGTGTTTTGTAGGTCCTCCAAGCTCTCGAACTGGCCCTAAACGACCTAGGTCCCATAGTCCTAAAGCAAAATTACAAACAACTGCTGGTCGAGGTGATAAAAAACCTGGAGATGTTAACCGTCGTGATAAGAAAGCGTCTTCCCGTTCATCGTCTTCGTCTTCTTCCAACTCAGGATCATCTTCTTCCTCCTCATCAAGTTCGAATTCCGGTTCTAGTTCATCCTCTAGTTCAAGTTCTTCTCGCTCACATTCTTAAAGGGCTCGCCGTTTTTAAATTTCGCCATAGATCCTATGATGAAATGAACATGTTTTTTTCGGATGTCTGCATTTCTCTGTTTGCACATAACTGTCAAGTGTATTTTAATACTTTTAATCTTGCCGAAATTACACTTGTTTTGAATTTACATTTACTTCATGAAGTCATTCTTTAGTTTATTAGACGGATGCTTATGAAGCACGACTTAATTCTTATAAGCAGATTTACATGGTGGTTAGCAGTGAAATCCAGGATGCGTGTTTTGTCCTATTTGGGCCTCGCTGTTTGGATATGCCTTCATTCCAAAGTTGGTGTTCACTCCGGGAATCAAACCCAATAACGTTTGCTTCAAACACAGCGTTATCCAATTGGCTACTTATATAAGAGAACCATTTGCTTGTGCGATAGAGTGACGCTTAATTCATGTATATTAGTTGTTTGAATCATCCCATTGATGCTCAGGGCTAAAATTGACCAGTCTCTAATGCACTTTATACATATTCTAGTAAAATTTTACGCCAGTTTACGTGTTCATTGCTTATGTGATTTCGCAGTTTTATTTGTGGTGCGTAGAGCTTATTTACCTACGCCTGTTACCCGTTTCACAGGAGCATAGGCTGCCCATCCGGGTTCTCCATCGAACTCTGTCCTGAACAGACCTAGGTGCTATTCCTTCTGATACTTGCCTCCAATTTCCGACGCGATGGTCTTCCTCTTTTCCTTTCCCCTTCGGGATTCCAAATTAGGGTTTTACTCTTGATGCAGTTTGATGATTTCTGCGATAAATGTACTATTAGTGACTTCAACAAGATTCCAAAGAAAGGAGATCTGAGCAAATGTGAAAACTACAAAGGCATTAAACTACTCTCAGTATAAGGCGAAGTCTTTAATAGCGAGTTGCTGAACCGGATGAAAAACGCAGTAGAGCATCAGCCAACAAATCATACCCACCCCCAGCATCTTTTCTTAATTTTCAGTTTAACTGAAAGTCGATTGGTTCTTAGCCATCTCCGGTTGTTGCTTATGGTATCTAGCTCAAGGACATTGAGTATCTCGCGTAGATAATTGTTTATAAATACTTGTACATTTAAGATGACGGTCGTAGTTCTCCACGTATCCACTCCTTACAGTAGAACCGTCTTTACGTTCGTATTGACTTGTGGTTCTGGTTTACAATATTTCACTGCCAGTTGCTTTGTTGTATCATATAGTAGTTGTCTCATATTTCCTTGTGTTGCAGCCTTTTCCGCTGTCGTTACTAAGTGTACCACGTATTTCTGCTTGTTGGTTGTAATGCTCCTCTTCACTCTCTTGTCTGGTTCTGTGTATTCAGTCTATGCTCTGACTGTCTCTGCTGTTGTTCAGCTGTTACTAATTGCTGTCTTCTTGTTCTCCCTTTCTTGAATCTTGTCCAAGGTATCAATAAGGATCTGTTCCTTATGATGATGCTTGTTGCGGCCTAGAACCTATTTGAACTGTGGAGTTAGTGCATCTTTGATCCGTTTCCAGTTGTTCTCCATCGTAGTCTCCTCTTGTTTGAGTAGATGCTGTAGTACTTGTAACCTGTTGTTGAGTTTGTCAGTATGTGGAAGGAAGGCTGTATTGAACCTTTGTAATGCTGTTTCTCCAGTTGTCCAGTAGTTCTTTAGCTTGAGTTTCATCTTGGCAACCACCAGGTAGATGGTGATCTGAAGGTGTACAGCTCGTGTCTTTGCTCTCAAGTCTCCCATTGATCTTCTGAACTCTTTATTGACGTAAATATGATCGATCCTCCGGTAAGACCCATGTAGGTTTGTGTATACGTTTGTGGAGGAATACAGTACCACGTACAACCATTCAATTGAATGCAGATAAGTTTGCAAAGATCTCATTATTTTAACCTCTTCCTCTCAGTCAGTCCATGTCGTTGCATAATATCTTCATATTGAGTGTAGTCCGATCCGACTTTGCATCTAAGTATCCAATCAGGATGGTTAGGTTCTTTCGCAGTCACTTCTCTACGGTCGACTGGAACCTCACGAAGCTGATGTTTATCGCCTTCATTGCTATCATTGGTGAGTGCACATTACTGGATAACATTGATTGTGTTCACCTCGTTCTATGTTTTGAAGAATGCTTTGATGGTTCTGGATCATGAGATACCTATTGTATGAGTGCTTTTCGTGCTTCATTGTAGAGCATCAGTGCAACTCCTTGTGTGTTCAAAGCATTTTCTTCACACGGAGAGAACAAGAACATCTCTTTCAGTTTGAGTAGGTTGGGTTCATTTCCACAGCTATTTTATTGACCTTCACAATTCCCCACATTTTCTGGACATTCCATATGCCTACATTAGTTATTGCTCTGGACGTTATAAATCGCATTGGCTTCTTGACGTCTGAGGAACCTTGGCTTTCACTATGAAGCGTCATAATTCTTATGAAGGGAGATCCTCCCACTCACACGTTACAGTTTAGATGGTTTATATTATTTTTCTGGTTAGCATATTAAACCAAGTTTGTTTCCCATGGGATGGGGTTTCGGACCCCATGCCCGACCTTCCTGTCTTATACGGGCTTGCGATCAGCGGTAACCCTGAAAGAGCTACAGGCGGAGTTGTGGTGCATATGGGTAGGATGAAAAATTTGTTGAAAGCATTTTAGAGAATGTAATATACTTAAGTGCTATATTGATTAGTGGTGCATAAGTGTTTCTTCTGAGAATGAAGTCTGATAGTAAGCAAGCGATGAACTGAGAAGATAAACTACTAAAATAAAATCTTTCTTACTGCACTTCTAATTATCTACTTCATTGTAAATACGGAAAAAGTGCAAGTGTAATAAGCTAAGAATTTATTTTCATTTTACGCTTTAATTTTTCTCAGGTCATCAGTTTATAAGTTGGTGGTATAAAATACTCGTCGCATTTCTCAAATAAGTAACCGTGAATAAACTCAGGATGAGTGGGAGTTTTGAATGTGGTGTTTCTAGAAGTTCCCCAAACTCGAATATCGTGAACGCATATAAAGTTATCATATTGTACTTAGAATGAAGCGAGCAGCGATTTACAAAGCAATTATTCTATATGAACACCACCGCTTGAAAGATCTGACTCAAACTCCATTCCGACAGAACAAGATGTTATTTTCTTCCTCTAAAATCATTATAGTTTGCTCATTAGGTCTGTAACGATTACAGTTAGACCACACACAACGCCGAATCACCCTGTTCAAGTATCTACGACAAATGTATAACCGTAAATTAGCCACTATTAGGGTGCACGGGTTCTTGTCGGTTGCTTCTGACAGTTCGCATATCACTCAAGAGCTTAGTCGTTTTCTCGCATTATCAAGGTTTTGTTTAGGCTAATGATTCTCCTTGAAGTAACTGCAACCATCTATAAAAGTGATGTGCATCTATTACGGGTTTTGCGAAATCTCGTGAAGTAACATTTAGGTATCGTGTACGACGTTGCGTGCGTGGTAAATATATCCATTTTGGAGAGGGTTACTCAGTTGATTCACGTATCATATCAATTAGTTTTCACAGTTTGAAGCGAAAATCATTCATAAGCTGTTATAACGTGAAAAATAAATGCTGCTGATTGAGGGGTAGCGAATTGATCGGACCAAAGACACGTAGAACGACCTAGGGTTCTGATTGGTCTCGCTTCCCTGTCTAGCCCAGTCAATTGAGTCCAGAACACAAGTCTCAGCCTCGGATTTATGAATCATTATATTTCAAACATACTTTGTTTATATACCAGTAAAGCAGTCCACAACGTACCATAAAATAGAAGATAACATTGTACAATAATGGCCAACAGGAAAATAACACGTTGAATAAACATTGACCAATAAGATGATACCATTTCATGTCCAAGGATAGCATTAGGCTTAACAGGATAATTTTTGGGATATTTCCCTGAATATCCCAATATAAGCGTTAAACTAAATGAATTTTAGTGTATCAGTAGACATGATATTGAAACACCACAGGTCTGTCATTAATTTGAACATATGTCAAGCTATCGCTAATTTAATTTGTAAGTTTAATAGGTACTGGTAAATTAATGAAGTATCTAGACCATGTGTATGTGCAGGAATTTCTTCAGGAAAGACTAGTAAACAATCTTTTTCAGGATAACGATACCTAGAAGATGATGGTAGTGTGCATTTGTCGCTAGTTTGTCTCTAAGTTAACATTATTTTCTTTTGCCTTAAATCCTTTTCACGTTTTTTCTGAAGTGGGTTTTACATCAGCCACTTGAAATTACTGTCTCAGGATAGCATCCCGTTAAAATTGTTGTGTCTACAACTTCATAACGAAATATATCTATTCTGAGAATCTAATTGTACGTCATCTAGTTAATTCATGAAACAGAATATATCGTGGTGTTTTAAAATTCTTAGACGATTGGATTTTATAATATGACTACTAATCTAATCAGCAAAGCAACTAAGCACACCTTCCAACTCAATCACTACTCCATGTGCTCTTCACTTATTCTTCATACTTCTCTTAAAAGCTCAGTAACTTACACGGAATAAGTGAAAAATATTAGATAGAAATTAAACCCATTCGAAATTAAAATCAGGATTTTCAGTACAGATATTTATTGATAGTCCTTGAGCAATATTAACAGCTTTACGAAATTCAATAAGACTATAAGTTATTTACACAAAATAACACCTGTCATACAATAAATTATAAAATACAAAACTTGTACGAAGTGTTACCCTGAAAAACAGGAAACAAATAAGGAAAGAAACATTCAAACAAAATTTACTAAACTCAGTTACATAATTTGTTGATTCTGTAATATAATTTAAGGCCATAAGTCCGCCTCTTTCATTTTATTGATGAAATAACGTTCTAAAGTATTAGCACTTCTATAAAGATAAGAGTCTTGTTGATTATAAGTACGACAATTATGAAACATTCGCATCATATCAGCAATAAACAAGGATTTCGTAACGTAATAATTCGATTTTAAACGTTCCCACATTGTGCTTAAATCTGTAAAAAAAGGATATGAGTAAGAAGTTAGATTTTTTTTTTTAAAGTACCTGACACATTTTTATTTTAGTTTAAGTTAAAAATCACCAGTGATTAGTTGCATTATAATCTCATTTTTCAGAACTTTTCCAATTCAAGTTGGCTGTTAAAACAAAACCATGTGACAATTAAAAGTATGTAGAAGTAACCATGATATCTCAAGAAAAATCAGGTATTTAAGAAAGTTTAGCAAGAAATGAGTTTGTATAGTAGAAGTAGGCCGTATTCATATTTTAGTCATATAGTTTGTATAAAGCCTACTAATACTATCCGGTTGTCTAATACCAAACAGAGGGGAACAGGGTTTAAAGCTACAATCTACTAGTTAATAGGCGTGCTTTAGTTACTAAATAACCAGTTACTTAATCACTTTGTAAAAAACGTGAAGAATTAAATTGAAAACTTGATTGCAAGAGTAGTCAGATGATATATCATATATATCGAAATCTGATTAAGATTTCTCAGAGTAAGGTAAAAATTTCCCTTCAACGAACGATGATCAGTTGTGGTCTATATTAAAAGTAAACGAATATAACAGAGTAGCTAATCTTATTTCGTCAACTAGTTACAATAACTGTATTAGTTTTATGTTGGTGATATCTTTAATTGTAGCCCAGAGAAACATCTGTTTTCATTGTACAAACAGGGCTAATGTTTTCTAGGCTTCTAAATTCAAAATATAATAGAGAACTTTTAAAATGAATATAACTATCCAAAAACACAAGCGATAACAATAGAACTATTTTATTCAAAATATCAACCATTATTTTTTTCACGTCATGTAACATGACAATATTGGATATGTTAGTTATCGAATGTGACTTAAAATGATAGATACAAACAGTTATTCATAAAAGGTAAGTATATATACAATAAATTTCTATTGAAAATCTAACAAACTGTAAGTACAAATAGACTATGAGCCTAGATTTAGTACCTACAAATATGTCGAACCGGTAACATGCCATATAGATAGGTTATTCTTCTCCAGTGAAATAAAAAATTCGATTAAGTGAGACAATTTGAATAGAGTTAAGAAATTATTCTCGTTAAAATGGTTAGTAAAACGAGAATAATAAATTGAATAATGTGAATTCATCACAGTTCATGGATTTCTACTAAATAGTTACAATCTTAGCAAGATCTACGCTGCATAGAATTACATAATCTACATATAAAAGTGTAAATGTTTGGACTATTATTAAGTTTGCATAAAAAATATTTTAGAAAACATAAAATGAGAATAAAACAAGAACTATTTACAATTATTAGGAACATATGTTACTTATCGCTACTACTTTAGTAAACATAATGAGATGAATAAATTGAAATTTGTTTACCTATTGGAAAAACAATAATATCATAATAATCTGGAGCTTCATCTACTGTAACAGGTTTTTGAAAAGGACCAGCCAATATATGACTACGTAAAGCATTTAGGATAGGACGAATTTTTTCTGCTAATTGTTTAGCTTCTTGTATCCAAACAGGTTCCAATGAATCTGATCTAAATAAATTATAATTAATAATTGGTTAACCAAAAATAAGTGTGGTTTAAATGTAATTCAAAAAGTTAACATTCTTTTCTTGAAGGAAAAATATAGAAGGATAATATATAACTGAACTATTTAACCACTAAATAAAAGATTGGCTAGGATTTTTTAAAAACCCTTAAACTTGATGAAGTTTCTTGAATTATCTTAGTGTTATTGGGTTCTCTGAACTAGATCCCTTATTTGTGGGACTTTTACTGTCGTTCCAAATATCATTAACGTTTCTCTTATGTAGAAGCTGACTTTGATTTTTATCATAAACAAGTGGAAAACATCCATGTTCATGAAAAATGAGGTGTCTTGAGTAACTGGTTTTTTTAAAAGGTCTATACAACCGTTATAGTGTCAAGTAGTGATTTGAAATTCACTCATTTTGAATCAACTGTTGCAAGACTGAACAATCAGCTAACCGACAATAATATCAAGCTAATCCCACTTAGTTATCTCTAGCAGAAGCTTAAGTAACGAGAGTTCAGTTTTATCAATGGCTGAAAAACTAAAAATATTGTGTGATTGAAGAGATGCATATAGAGAATGATTTTAAAAATAGACACATTTTGGAAATCGTATTTTAAAACTACTAGATCATATTTCTACGATGATTCGATAAACAATCAATTTAATAGAAAACACATGAAAACTGTAAAGACGATTCGTAAACTTAACTGTGATGATGATCCAGATCAAGGGTAAAATACTCTTGTAATCAATATTTTCTTTATTGATAGTACTTATTTTAAGAATAAGTACTACAGTAATGTGAACAGTTGTATCTATTTTTTGTTCTCGTTTTAGTTTGAGACATTACCTTATTCCATGTTTATAATCCTTTCTTCTGCCATCTTTTTTATTGGGATTCTCCATTAGTTTTGGCCTTATGATTCTCACTTTTTTACTATTTATTTTGTTGATTTTATTTTTTTACGCTAAAACGAAATATGACGGAGTAAATCACCATAAGATGAATTTAACCTTTCAAGTTTTTTCTACCGAGCAATCTGAAGATTAAATGATATCTTAACAATTTTAATAATTTAATTATTACAGTGAGCAAATATGTAATCATCACTCTTGTCTGTAATAATCTTGGCAACTAATTATTTGACGAAAGTATTTTGAGATGACAAGAATTTTTACTGAGATTGAACATACTTATTACTTGGAAAAGACATTGTTACATTGGGAATTTTGTGGAACTTTTACTTCTATGGTAGTGCATTAGAAATTTTAAATGAGTATTAATTAATGATAAAAATCATCTAAATGCATGAAATTCTAATATATTAGTAAATATAGCCATTTTATATGCCGAGACGATAAAATGGCTTTAATAATTTAAATTAAAAAAAGAAACGTTGTAATTGTTTGTAATTCCTGTAAGTCAGCAAATTAAATTTACATTTTTAATGAGCTATTATAACGCGTTGACCTTGAACTGATTCTTGCTTTCATCTGTGGCTTTGTAGTCAACGGACTGGGACTTGGCAAAGGATCGAGTAAACGTTTGCGTAGTTTTCTCGGAGGCTCGTGTAATTTTTCAACACATTTACCAAACGTTTCTGACGATTTTCGCTTTACTGAAACATGATTATTTATGGAAGTTTGATTGGTTTCGGATAATTCTGTTTTAGGAATTTTATGAAATAAATCAGAAAATTTGTTTGAAGTTAGATCGATCTCAGTTAGACCAGGGATTTGATCTGGTCTTAAAGGTCCATTACGAAATAGTTTGGCAGGTATTCCTGGGTAGGTTTGATTAACAGACTCACGACGTTTTTCTATCAACCGGGTAATAACCTATCAAATAAATATTAAATAATTTACAATATATTACCATTTAAGTGAAATTATCAAACTCGTATCACGAATGATGTTTTACAGATTTAAAGTTCACAAGAAAATATTCACGAAACAAAATGTTTAAAGATACGGTAGGACTTCATGATAAAATCACGAAACGTAAGTTTTTTTCCTATGATACTCTTTATCAAATAGTTAAGAAGGAATCATGAAAGGAAACGACTAAATCAATGTTACAATCATATTAATTAGTTAGTCTCGGAAAATTGTCTTCCAAAAATACAATCATATTATACTTATACAATAACATCATACAAAAAAACTATTATTCTTAAAATTAGTACCAACGAATATCACAAAATAGAACACTTTCCTAAACTGAACACAGAACCTTAAAAGTATTGAAATAAATAAACACGTAGAAATGACAGGTGAAAAATAAACAACCCCTTACAAACAGAATAATTATAAACTTTTTCATTAACATAATTACAATAACTCATGCAATTAAAGCACTAATCATGCATACTCAATACTCTGTGTTAGTTAATACATGAAAGCGTAAATCTAAATTGATTGATGTATCCAGTGAATTATACACAAGCAAGCATGTTTGCAGTGCGAGTGAGCGCTTCAAATGTGGTCATTGTGGAAATGTTTCAATGTGGATGATGATTGGTGAGAGGAAGAGAAATTGTGTGCGAATCAGCACAGAACATAAACCGAAATGCAGTTGGTGGTAAACTAATGGTATATGATTAATGGTTTGCTTTTTTCAAACAGACCAGTACAATTCAACAATATTATATATGTTAGAGATGCAGAACAATATACCAATCATTATCATGTTAAGTCTAATGATGTCCTTGGACCTTAAATGGACATTCCCTATTGGCCATTATTTATTTCACTCGTTAAATACTGTACAGATGTTGTTTTCTATTTTTATGGTACGGTGTGGTCTGTTTGGTTGGTATATAAATAGAGTATGTATGAAATACAATGATTCATATCTCAGAGGCTGTGACTTGTGTTCTGGACTCAACTGGCTGGGTTAGACAGCGAAGCAGGACCAATCGGCACTCTGGGTCGTCCGTACGTGTTTTACGTGTCACTGAATCGATCGATAAATACGCTGCTCCATTTAACCTTCAGTCCACCAGTTACAACAATATACATATATTCAAGTATTCAATAATGAGCCAAAATTATTATCTGAATGATATTAAGTAAATGTCTTATTATTATCTTTTATAAGATGTAGTCTAGGTAATGAATACAACTATATAACTTTCGAAAGTCTAGAGTTAACCATTCAGTAGTTTTTGTTGAATAATGGCAAATGAAATTTGATTTACACTATTTCAAAATTTACTAGGAATATGTCACTTTCATTCAATTTGGAAAACAAGTTACAATTATACAGACTCAAGAAAAAAAATGAATCAAACAGTGACAACAACAATAAATACCTGTTTTTGTTTTGCAATCAATTCAGAAAATCTAGTATAAATAATATTTGGATATAATTCACAACCCATTAATGTGGCACCTTCATACTCTTTAATATAACCTAAATAAGCTTGTCGAGCTAAGCGTATTTCACGTGAAAATCCTTGCTTTCTAAAATAACCAGTGGCAAATGAATCAGCATATGTAAGAAAATGAAATATTTTATGCTGTAAATGATAATCTTTTAAATGATTCATCATTTGTGTTCCATAACCCTTGAAAAAGAAGAGAGAAAATCTTGTCATAAATATAAGTAAATACAATATTAGTATTATTTATTGAAATATGAAACTTATGACACTGAATAACTAGATTTCTATCAATAATAAATAATATTGAGCAGTTGAATTGCAGATATAGAGGTCCATGTTACTTATTATACAATCTAACATTTTATAGGTAAAATATTTCTGACAAAAAATACACATCTTTCAATTATTATAAGATTTATTGCCAGGAGTCACAGAAATTGATTTTTGATAAATTAATTCAATTGATGTGTTTAAATTCTTTAATCAGTAATTCGATATTAATCAAGTGTTTTAGTTGATTACTATTTTTATGTCACCAACATATGATAATTAACGTCACTGGTACCAGTTGCCAACACATTACCAAATTTCATGATTTCTATGATCTAATAAGATGGATATTGTATAAAGGCTGTAGGTTAGTCAGTGTTGTAACAAAGCAAGCTATCTATAACCTCCCTATTATATATTACTCTGAGTTTTGCTAATCAAATTCATTCTTTGTATTTAACTTTAACAATAGATAATCAATGAGCATGCAAAAAAATTTACACGCAGTAAAATGTATTTGCATGAAATATTCATTGTGTATCGACAGTCTCTTTAAAACTAAATTCTTAATAACACTCTTCCAAATCACAAAAATTCAGATACAAGTTTCACTAGTTCGAGGATAGGCCTTATAGCAGCGATTTAGTGAAACTCGAAAACATAAAATACGCACTACTTATTGGTAGAATAGGAACAGAGTCAATAAAAACGGAAGGAAATAATGAACATTATAAATAGAAATTAAGGAAAGAAATAAGTAGATGAATGATAATGATGTATTGGAGATCGGTTTTGGGTATTAAATTAAGTGTCTACAACTATTGACTGATTTATAACCTAGAAGATGACAGTTAAGTAGGGAACAATTTATTACACAGATAACAGCAACTGTCATAGGATTCGTGATTCATTTTAAGTCTCAATTTGCCTATTATCAATTCATATCAATTAAATCCTACTCAGGTCAGTACAGCAGATTATGCTAGGTCGTTGGGCATATAGACCACATTCTATACTGAATTAATATTGATACTACTCATTTGGAAATTCTAATTGTAACATAAATGATCAATGCGAAGTGACCAATGAGATTTTGTGGAAATGTCTAAATCTCCCACAAAATCATTTGCCATTCTACTTTGAACTAATTACTTCTTTGTATTAGTTGTCGCTACTTTTGTCATCGTTATGAAACTTGTTTATGTTACTGATTACGACGAAGCATAAATAAGCAAATTTTTTTCATTCTATAGTTTAGAAACAATACTACTTAGAAGCTGATAAGTAAATAATGTACTGAATTTAAGTTTATATATATATATATTACTTACTTTTACTTGTTCATTGAAAATTACTGCACAAAACACTATTTCCGTAAATCCCTGAGATGGAAACATACGAAAGCAGATCCCGCCGATAGCATGTTTTTCACATGAATCCGAAACTTTTAACAAAATAAGATTTTTGTGTTTTCTGTATATACATGTGAAATAAATGAAACAAAAGACTAAATATAAATGAAAGTCGCCAGTAATAACTATTTGCATGTACCGAACATATTATACATCGAAGTGAAAAGTCACGATATGGTAATATATATATATATATATATATATATATATATATACTAATGACTTGGTTGATAATTAGTCACATACTTGATCATAGGTGTCTTCGAAACATTGCTCGTATATCCTGGGACCATTGAGTAAGTAACGGAGTTGTTAGGAAACGTGTACTAGGTAAGGATGGCAAATCTATTGATGACGTAGTGAAACGTGATCAGCTGAGATGGCTGGGACACGTGTTACGTATGCCCAACCATCGGTTGCCTCGACGTGCGATGTTTTATGATGTAAGAGTAGGTTTGGAGAAAGTTAGGGGCGGCCAGACCAAAACATGGCACAAATCCATGAAGTCACTGACAAGTGGACTGAGTCATATTGATAGGTGTGGACTACCTGGTTGGGATCCGCGAGATGATAGCAGCAGATGGTTAGAGACCCTGGATGACATGGCTCAAAATCGTTTGCAATGGCGCAGGTGCATCCACTCTTTGTACTCTCCCAAATTCTAATCTTCTGAACTCTTCATGTCCCTTTCTTTTTTCTCTTTCCAGATTTATTTCACTGTATTATACTCCTTGAATAACATCTCCAAACACTGATGTTTCCGATTACTGCTTATACTCTTACCGCCTCTACCACTACGGGATTTGAATCGACCACTGCATCTCTGTGCTAATGTGGTGTGGCAACTCGAACTGATGTACGTACGTACGAAGTTCTACGTTGTTACTGACTGACTGACTGAATCACATACTGATTGACAATTTTTACATGATAATTCATGTAAACAAAACAATAACATTCCTATTTAAATATCTTTTTATACCGTCGTAAGAGATTAATTGAGCGAATTGTTTAGAGTATAATAATTAAACATATTATAACAGAACATTCACGACTTCTGATTACAAATTTTAGTCTTGTCACATTGGAAGACTACACTTTTGCTGGTTGGAAGGAATAATCGCAAATATAAGATAACATTTGACTGTACAAACTCCGACTCAAAAGACTTGTTGTATAAGAAATAGTACTACTAATAGACTGTCTTAACTCTAAACAATGACGCTGGATTGTGATCCAATAGTTGAAAGAAGAATCGTTAAACCACTGAGATACATCTAGAAAATTATTTTAAGAAGTACATAAAATTAAAAGACATTTCAGTTAAATCATTCAATATTGGAATTTATGAATAATAGTTTAGTTGACAAAAAGGAGTATATCTTTTGAAATAGTTGAGTCGGGAAAACAACCCATCAGAAAAAGTAAAAAAACAACAATTGTGAATATCACGTATACAAACTTACGGGTCAAAAATAAGTCGTGCAATGTATTCCTTTGGCATACGAGGTAATTGCAAAGCAAATACATTTAATAACTCCAAAAGCCAAATATATGTTTGTGGAGGTTGATTAGGATTTAAACTGTTATTAACTATATGAAATTCAATATTCCCAGCTGATTCTTCTTGACGTGCAGCGGCATCTCTTGTTGCATTTAACGAATGAAGCTAACAAGTTATCAAGAAAGAAAGAGACAATCCACAATTGAATAAATAAACCAATTAAATATTTCACCACTATAACAAAACAGATAATTTATTTCTACAACAGGTTGTTATTATTTACAATACACACCACAAGCAAATAAAACAGTTTTGTATGCTGAATTCATGAAAGTGGATATTCAACACGATTTTGAAGTTATGAGTTTTCACTGAGTATCTGAGTCTGAGTGATTGATTTTAAGAAAATTAGTACATGTGTGCTTTTACACAGTCATGAACGAAATAAGTGTGTAAATATCAGTTAATTTGTAAAATACTAACATTGTCCAACAATATATGAATTTTAGTGCTGACTTCTTTTAAGATATACATGAGTAATATTTTTGGATGATGATTAATGATACTAGTTATATAGTTACGGCAAAGTGAATGGAATATGTTTGGAAGCATGACTCCAGTCAGTCAGTCAGTCAACAACGTAGAACTGCGTACGTACGTACGTACATGACTCCATTGCATATTTATGCACTAAGAACATAGATATAATCATAGTTTATTGGGCACGACATTATCCAGTATGGCTGTAACAGGAAATCAAAAAATGAACACAGTATATGAAAGATTTGATCACTCATGTTTGTTTTGAGTTTATTCATTACTGTTAACTTTGCAGAGTTCACTTACAAATAAAACATTAAAGTAGTATTTGTGTATAGATGCAAAGAAGGAGTAAAAAAGAATATGAATACCTAGAACAAATTTTAAAAAGAACAATATAAGAATAAAGTTTGAGGTTTACCGTTTGAAAAGGATAAAATCCTTTACAAGGGCTTTCACTGTTTTTCATTTCTTGTAGAATTTGTTCTAATTCTGTACTACTAACATCTGAAATATTTAACTTATCATTCAATGACTTTTTAGTATTGCTATCGGTGACCACAGTTTTGTCTTCTGATTTACAGTTCGACTTTTCTGAATCACTCACAGAGGATTGTGTATTAATCGATAATTGACTTCGAAGACGTACGCCTAAATGTTTATTTTATGATTAAAAATAGAAAAGAAATAACAATTAGCCTGGATGCAGTACAGAAAAAAAACTTTCAGCAGCTCACATAATAACGTTTTCATCAACAGTTACAGAATGAAATATATCTATGTTTCACAATAGTTTTTTTTAAATCCATGAAGTGAGTTTTCATCCATGTCAACGAGTAACGTTGAATTCCACCAAAAGCGATTGTATATGAAAAGAGCAAGTACTTGTTTATAATCGGACTAGGTAAACAAAAAAGTACAGAAATTCAAGCATGTATCCAAATAAGTTCAGTAATGCAGTGTGCTTTGTTCATGAAGACGAAAATGCTTTGTACACACAAGGAGTTGCACTGATGCTCTACAAAGAAGCACGAAAAGCACTCAAACAATAGGTATCTCATGATCCAGAATCATCAAAGCATTCTTCAAAACATAGAACGAGGTGAACACAATCAATGTTATCCAGTAATGTGCACTCACCAATGATAGCAATGAAGGCGATAAACATCAGCTTCGTGAGGTTTCAGTCGACCGTAGAGAAGTGACTGCGAAAGAACCTAACCATCCTGATTGGATACTTAGATGCAAAGTCGGATCGGACTACACTCAATATGAAGATATTATGAAACGACATGGACTGACTGAGAGGAAGAGGTTAAAATAATGAGATCTTTGCAAACTTATCTGCATTCAATTGAATGGTTGTACGTGGTACTGTATTCCTCCACAAACGTATACACAAACCTACATGGGTCTTACCGGAGGATCGATCATATTTACGTCAATAAAGAGTTCAGAAGATCAATGGGAGACTTGAGAGCAAAGACACGAGCTGTACACCTTCAGATCACCATCTACCTGGTGGTTGCCAAGATGAAACTCAAGCTAAAGAACTACTGGACAACTGGAGAAACAGCATTACAAAGGTTCAATACAGCCTTCCTTCCACATACTGACAAACTCAACAACAAGTTACAAGTACTACAGCATCTACTCAAACAAGAGGAGACTACGATGGAGAACAACTGGAAACGGATCAAAGATGCACTAACTCCACAGTTCAAATAGGTTCTAGGCCGCAACAAGCATCATCATAAGGAACAGATCCTTATTGATACCTTGGACAAGATTCAAGAAAGGGAGAACAAGAAGACAGCAATTAGCAACAGCTGAACAACAGCAGAGACAGTCAGAGCATAGACTGAATACACAGAACCAGACAAGAGAGTGAAGAGGAGCATTACAACCAACAAGCAGAAATACGTGGAACACTTAGTAACGACAGCGGAAAAGGCTGCAACACAAGGAAATATGAGACAACTACTATAGGATACAACAAAGCAACTGGCAGTGAAATATTGTAAACCAGAGCCACAAGTCAATACGAACGTAAAGACGGTTCTACTGTAAGGAGTGGATACGTGGAGAACTACGACCGTCATCTTAAATGCACAAGTATTTATAAACAATTATCTACGCGAGATACTCAATGTCCTTGGGCTAGGGTACCGTAAGCAACAACCGGAGATGGCTAATAACCAACCGACTTTCAGTTAAACTGAAAATTAAGAAAAGATGCTGGGGGTGGGTTGTATAAGCATTGCGGAGATCACCAAAGTGTATCATTAGGAAATCCGTAACTTGGGTTCCGGAAGACAAAAGCAAAAGAGGCAGACCAAATAACATAATTTATCGGAAATGGAGGCAGACATCAAAAGAATGAATAGCACTTGGAGAAAACTGGAAAGGATATCACGGGAAATGGCTGGTTGGACAGTCTTGGTCAGTGGCCTGTGCTCCACACTATGGGTAACAGGTGTTATGCTTGTTTCAATATGTCACTTACGATCTGAGTAAAATCCATACTTCATCTACATAATTAACTATTATAATGGGCGTTAATTTTCTGTCATTCGACAAAATACTCGTAAACTTTGAAAACCTGAAGCTTGTACGTGCCGATCTAAGGTCGAAATAAAGGAGGGTGCCTACTGAGACGTCTATGCATTTACCAGTTAAACTACAGCGTGCAGCTGACGAGTATACTAATTTACTGTCAGTTTTCTAATTTATTTCATCAGACTTTTAAACGAGAGGGTTTGAGATAGTGTGGTACGCCATAGTGACACTAAAGGACGCCCTTTTTTAACGTCCAAGACCCCTAGACCTTAAACGTTGTGTTATAGCAAAAGAAGAAACTGATAAGGTGAACGGGTGGGGCATGGTACAACCTTCAATCATCCCGTGTGGATAGATACGCTATACCGCACATTCATAATTGCAACAAAAACATGGTTGGTAATATTATTTTCACCAAAACTGACTTAGTCTGAAGATATCACTACATCCCTGTAGCGCCAAAAGAAGTTCCAAAAATAGCAATTACATTACTGTTTGGTTTATTCAAACTTGTAAGAATGCTGTTCGGATTATCTAAGGCAGCAAACTTCTAAGTGGTTTATAGATATCAATGCCAAGGATGGACTTGATTGTTTCAAATAAATTGAGCATTGGTAGAAGGTTAATAATAAATGTATTTTTTGTTATAACCCAATGAGTAGAAAAATTGTATTTCTGACTATTTAAACTTGTGTTGATTTATTTCGGTTATTTATTTACTCTGAAGAAGCGGCTTATGTCAAGTCACGAAACGTCAGAAATATAATTTTTCTACTCATCGGTTTACAACAGAAAAATATATTTACTATTTTGAAAGGTATATTGACCAAGTACATCATGGACTGTCATTTGCACAAGCCTATATTACCGATAGACTACAAGACTCAATCCAAGATAAACACCCTATAGTATGTTTAGTCGGGAATTGTTGGTAATCTATCTATCAAACATTTTTGATACATAATAGAAAACACATAGTTCATGGTTTGTACCGATTATAAGCAGTAGTAAACGGTCATACCAATTATTCTCCAAGAAAATTAAAACATCTCGATTTCATTGCAGTTTACTACCGACATATAATATGTAAAAGGGAAGGAAGACGACTGTGTAGATGGGTTATCAAGTACAGATATTAACGTTCTCACAATCCCTGACACAAGTTATCAAGAAACGATAAAACCTCAAAAGCTCAATAATGAGTTAAATAGACTTTTGGAACCTAAGAAAACAACGTTAACATTTCGAAACTTTCCTGCGAATGAAAATAAAGCATTGACTTATGATATTTCGACAAGTAAAACTCGCCCCCTTGTACCCTACAGCATGAAACGAAGTATTTTTGAAAAACTAAACTTATCTTACCCAGGTATTAGAGAAACAGTAAAGCTTATTACAGATTAATTTATATGGTCAAATACAAATAGAGACTCACGAAAATGAGAGGGAGAATATATATAGTGCCAGAAACTGAAGATCCACAGGTACACCATGTTGTCTACAGAAGTCTTTCCCTCACCAAAAGCAAGGTCTGATCATATTCATATTCAGGTTGTGGGACCGCTACCACTTTTGAGAGGGTATACACACTTGCTAACATATATCGACAGATTTACTAGATGACCCGTAGCTATTCACTGAAGAACATGACAGTAGCAACAGTGGTAAAAAAACTGATGCACTGGATAGCAAACTTTGAGGTCTCATCAGCGATTACGACTGGCCATGGTGCGCAAGTTAACTATGACTTTTGTCCATTCTACTCGTATAATAACCGGCCTAAGACATCAGGATGTCACATTACGCTTAACTTCAGCAATGATAGCTCCATGACTTCAATAGACATGATCAACAGTTGACACATAGACTTCAAATGGCAGTTTGTTTGATTTATGGCAAGTGAATTATAACTTTTAGTCATTTAGGAAGCCTTTATAGAAACATAAATGTTGAAGTGTTTTGTTTGGTACTGACCAAAAAGAAGTATTGTAATGAACGAGAACTCAGGTGGGGAAAACCAATTTATTGTTTAATGAAAAATCACACAGTGGCTTAGTTAAATGTGAAAATCATACATTAAATACATCATTTACACATCTTCCTGCTTCGGTTTGGGCACCCGGGCAGTATCACAGCCCTCACACATATCAAATGAGGTTTGTGTGGCGCATATGTATTTGGTGCCTCTTTGTACCAATATCTATATGTTAAAATAAATAAATAAATAATTTACACATCTCTGCGTTGTCCTTTACATGTTCCATCATTTCTCTAGTCCCGTTGTTATTTTGATTGCTCTCCGATTATCGTCCTGTTCTCTTCATTCCAACTTTCTGCTTCCAGGCATTTCCACTTATGACTGTTACTAAATACTACTTATATCTGTCAGTATAAGTAGCACAAACCATAGTATGCTTACAAGTAAAAACATATCAAGAGACCATTCTTTTCAATTGCATCCGGAAATACTGCTTGGCATCGCACAACTTTGGTTTATAAGTGAGTCCAAGGGTTTAACGGATAAATTGTGTGCTTTAGGTCTTTATTTGCTAAAGATCCGGCAATACCAACAATAGGAATATTCAGAATAAAGATATTTAAACCCACTAAAACTACACAATCTCCAAACAGGAAATAAGATAAATGAAAATCACAGACTAGAAATTGGGCTTAAAGTCAGATCAGGCGTAAAGATTCAAATAAAAAAGTGACTGTCTTCAATGAAAATTTACTAACACTTACTTGTTCTTCGGTGCGTTGTATGGTCAGTTACTTTGGCAGGTTTTGTAAGTGACTCTTCAGGTTCAGACTTAATAGGTGTATTAACTACCATATCCTTATCACCATTCACCAAATCTGGATTACTAAACAGTTTCTCTGCTTTTAGATCAGCGAGAGCTGGTGTAACAATTGAATCACTTTTCAGTTCACTTGAACTACTGATGATTATATTACGTTGATGTGTAGAGAAATCGACCACGTGGTCAATAGAAATCGACTGTAATAATCCGCTTGGTGTAATTACATTGTCGGGACGCAATGGTGGTTGGAAATACGGATCCCAGACGGAAGTTGTTTTGTCCTCAACATTATCTTCCAGCAAATTACACAGTCTGAATAGAAAATAATTAGAACGGGAATGAAGTACCAATGAGTAGGATAGCACTAAAAATTTAAGAAGGACAAATGATTGCTAGTTACCGTGTTAAAGGTTGTATTAAATGTATCTTTGCATCTAGCATGGACGGGATTATAGAATCTTGTTTGAAAAATTCGATTAGTCTTCTTTTAATTTCGGGTAAAACGGCTAACAAGAAATTCTTTCCAAATGCACATGTAGCCTCAGTATATGGTAAGGCATTACAGAACTTTGGCACATAACAGTGGCATATCCACCTGAAAGGAGTCAAATAAGTATATATATACAATACAAAATACCTCATATATATTAATTTGTATCCTGTTTTATTTTCATACTTCTGAATCCTTTGACTTGGATATGTGATCTTATATGAATTCACATATGCTAGGAATAATTTACACAGTTCAATTGTGATTTCTGGATTTTGAGGATCAGTGACAGCACAGAATAATAACGCGTTTCGTACAGCCTTTTAAAAGTTGAAGAATCAAGTGGAATTCACATTTTATATACTTACTGTATTGATATCAGGTCGCTCGAAAGGAGGTTTGTCATCAAAAACGGGTTGTACTTTATTCATTAACGCCTTGCGAAGGCGCTAGAAATGAGATTGGAATGATGATTGTAAGATGTCTTACCTTTAAAATACAGAAATATATATTTCTTGTTTCATAATCTTCTTCCTTGGTACATAAAATATACATTCGTTCCACATCGTCGACCATTTGCATTGCACTATTGAGCCACGTGCTCTCGTTTGGATCAGACAAGCTATAATGAACATGACAGCAATTTTCACATATAGCTTCAACAAGTTTTTCATCTATCGCATTGTCTGAGAGCTTCCATGTACTACATTTGCAACCTTCATTCTGCGATCATATATTTTTAAAAGATCACTCATGTACTTACTCTGCATTTAGAATAAGGTAGATATCTTGACAACTTTTGGTATAAAGTCGAACTATCCATGCTCAGATTATTGCTTTCTATAGGATCAACATTTGTCCGCCATCACTAATTGTCAAATGTACTATCCAAAGTTTATGGACATTTGGAATAAAGAACTTCGAGCTGTAAAATAAAGTTTTCTTATTCAACATAGACAAAATACTCGAATAGTGACAAGAAAACGATCAAAATCTAACAAACCCAGTAAAGAAAGAACTTTACAGAAAACTTCAGACACATAAATAAGTGCAAATAATCGCGAATACTCATCATATTATGCATTTCTAGGATGAAAACAACATGGAGTCGATTGCAAAGTTGAAAAACACTAGTACTGAAGAGTACTGTTTTCTGAATTAGCTTTAAATAACTAGTCATCAAAATGAATGTCAATAACTTCAAAAAGACACTGAAGTGACTTTTGCACCACACTGAGAGAACGCAGGCGTAATACATGAGATAATTTATTGCCGACTGAATTTAGAACTGGGCAACAAAATCAACTACAATGAATTTGAGAGGAGCAACGATGCGTCCTAAAATAAGCCACAATTATTGACTTGTGCACATTAGTAAGACACTTCTAGTGCTTATTGGTAAATCCGGTACAAGATCTCAGAAAGCATTTATAATGCGATCAGCATCTCTAGTGGTCTAACAGCTATTTGTCCTTGCATCGTTGCCCCTAAGTTTAGTGACGTCTTCATGATAGTTATCTATGAAGGGAATACTAGGCCGGCTGAATTTAACGAAGTATCTGCGGACAGCATTCTGAAGTGAAAGAAATGAGCGACGTAGGTTGTGTAGTTTTAAGTTCAATAAATACATAGCTGTTAAACTGATCGCTGTAATCTGTGACACACCTGCTCGTTCGGATGCTACGTACAGTTAATCACAATGAGAAAGCAAGTTGTGATAGGTGTGTTGTAGTTGGTCGGTGCCTTGACGGAAGGATGATGTTTCCAAATAGTGAACGTACGTTGAGAACTGATGATAGCTTTTGTCAGAGGCTTGAATCAATTTACGATCAAGGGCATTCTAATTTCGAAACACGTGGCATTAATATGATTTTAACATTCCCTTTAGATCCAATGCACATGGTATAATTAGGTGTAACTGAGAAACTAGTCAATCTATGGATAGATTTCTCTCACAAAGGACTTAGAAACATGAACAAGTCTGTAACTGTGAATATAAATAAGTTAATATCAAGTTGTGCGGCATATAGTCCTGCAGACTTTCAGCGTAAATGTCGGACATTAGAGTTCGTCTCAGTATGGAAAGCGACAGTGTCGATTGTCTCTTCTGTGTTTAGGCCCCGTAATTCTTAAACATTGTTTATCAAAACCATTGTACCTGAATATCAAGCGTTCAGTATTGGCGAAGTATTTGTTAGCGCATTCCAGATTACATAGCAGCGTAAACAGATTCGGTCAGAAATGATTTACTTAATTTTCTTAAGGAATATGAATGGTATTGTGGACCTGGAAACTTAGTTTATAACGTGCATTTCTTGAAGCACCTCCTTGATGACGTTCATGCAAATGTAGATTTAAACCCTTTTTCCTCCTTCCCATTTGAGTCTTATATGAGGAAGGTTAGGAAGTCAGTGCATAGCAGTTATGCTGTAGCAAAGCAAACTGCTCAGAGGTATGCCGAGATATCTTTCTGTGGTAGGCTGCAAACTAGTATATCCACCACTAATTTATAAACAGTCGTTAAGTCTGACCCCGGAAACCAAACAGTTATCTGTAAGAAAACTAAAATAACTTCATTTAAGCCGCATAATGTAATAATAGTACACGGAAAACCTGTGCTAGTCAATGATATAAGGAAAAATGGACTAATTAGATTTAGACTATTCAACGACCCATGTGATTATTTCGAGAAGCCATTCCCTTCTAATAATATAGGAATATCTATGTGCTCCATAGTTAGTCATGAGCACACATAAGTTTCCATTAATGATATCGGCTGTAAATGTATCACCATTAACTATGTTAATAATGTGGTAACTGTTCCATTGGTACATAGGTTCATGTGAATATATTTTTCAAGTTCCTGTTGATAGTATTACTTTAAACTATTTCCTTACCTTTTATATACTGTTTAGCCGACTAATAAGCAGTTTGTACATATGGACGCACCAAGCTGGAAGCAGATTCTAAATGCAGCTAAAAAGTGGATTGTGTGTAATCAACTTTGTCTGTAGATATGCACCTGCAGGAGAGTGCCCGAACAGATGACCATTGGCCAGTCCTGAAGTGCAAGGTCATCCACTACTGTGGTAACTTACAAACATAGAAACGATCACTTCCTATAGATAGTTTCCAGACTGCGAAGGACGTATTGGTTTTGTCAAACAACTTTGCTGGTTACTGTGTCAGCAGTTTTACGGACAAAAACATTGCCACTAAACGAAGAGAAGCTAAAGAGGTCAGTACAGTAATCTCATTAATATTTCGTAGATGTGCATTGAAACGGAAAGAAATGTTTCTGTGCAATTCCACTGACATGAATGTGGCCGAACATTTTTTAAACCATTATGCACACTAACATATCGCTTTTTGTCTTCATCCGTCGACGAACAACAACTTGGTAAACTGCATGACATCGCAACGCAGTGGTATTTTCACGACATGAGGGACAAAATGTGAGTGTCGTCGAAGGAACTAAGAACATGTATGTACTAATTTTAAGTTATGACCACTCATTTCTGTTCTATAGGTGGAGCGTTCAGTATTAGAGAACATAACCTTAAGTCATACTTCGGGTTAACCGTTGTTTAACAAATTATGGCAATTTGACATCATTGTAAATTTTAGTGTTTATTAAACTTCAGAATTTACATGGAGATTATTTTCGGTTCGGAATAGTAACGCCGCAGTTTAAGAAAGACGTTATTATTGAAATGCTTTTTTTTTATCTCTAACTTATTTTTTAATAAGGCTTTTTCTTACCGTGTGCAGAATTCATGACTTGCATTTGAAACCCATGAACAAATGAAGTTTATGTTGCGTAAGCCTGCTTGGTTCCACATGCACTTATCAATAGCGACACATTCTTCACTAATAATTTATTATCTGTAGTTTATTTAGCAGATCTTCGTAAATGACATTAGCACTTGGCACTTACGATGAAAATACATAACAATCGTTGCTCGAGTGTCTGTCACTAATATCCCTCTACAGTATAGTGTTTTTTCTTGTCAATAAGTGTCTTCAACCATGTGTCACTTTTTAACGTAGTGGATTGCAGTCATCGCATGGTTTATTATGGAAATAAAGGTGAACAGAAAACATTTGAGGTTAGGCAAAAGGTGGCCAACGAAGCATATAATCAAGTGTGCAGTTAAAAATTAGGCGAGTATTTAGGGGAAAATAGGCAAGTCGGTATGAATCGAAGCAAAAATTAGACAATTCAAGGACGTTTCAAATAGAGCGATAAAAAAAGAAATTTCTGGATTATTTTCCCGTGACAAGGAGTTTAGACGTTTTCCTGCTATTTCTCTTTACTTTTGATGGAATGTCCACTTAAATTACTCCATGTTAGCCTTTATTTCCACCTTATAAGTTGCTTGGGAAAAACTTTGATTAAAAAGCTATTTTTCTAGATTTTACAATATAAGTTATTTCCACCTAATGGGTGTCCACAGGCACCGAAATCACGGTTTTTAATGACAGAAATGCACAACTCAATTCTACTATCTTGGAGAAATTTCGAGGGAAAACCCCAAAGTGTTATAAGATTCCTGCGGAAATACTGCGGAAAACACTAAATTCCTCAAAATTTTTAAAGATTCTCCCCAGACCTGGGAAAATCTTGTGGGCTTTGTGACATTTTCAAAGCTTTTACAGCGATTTCTCCAAAATTTACCCAAACCGGAAAGCATTTTCCCCAAAATGGGGAGATCGGGAATAGTCGAGACCGAATAAACAGGGGGAACCATAATTAACTGCACTGGATAAAGTTGTAGTGTTAAAGCCTAATAATAGTGAATCAAAATTAAAAATGTGATGGAATCCACTGAGACTAAATATCTCCAACATTTAGTAATGCCTAACCTCTTTTAGTTTTCCCGGCACTCGACCTTAAACATTAAAGTAGCCGCTACAGCTTTAAATCCCCAAATATTATTTGACATGAGCTTGCATGAACCGAAAGGTACAACTGTCTTTTCGCAAATCAACTTGGTTAAAATGTATAACCAAATCCCCATGGCTGCAGACGATATACCGAAAACAGCTATCATCACTCTATTGGGACTCTGAATTTTTGCGGATGCCTTTCGGTCTAAGAAACGCTACTCAAACATTCCAAAGGTTTATAGACGACGTTTCTCGAGGTCTCAACTTCGTATATGCGCATGTTGACGACTGCCTAATAGCAAGTCCGGACAGAGAATTGCATTTCCAGCATCTGGATCTTGTTTTCGACCGACTACAAAAACATGGCATTACTGTAAACATTCAGAAATGCCAAATCGGAACAGACTCTCTAGGACACACTATCGACGCTCAAGGAATTCGACCCCTTAGAACCAAAGCGGCGGCCATTCTGGATTACCCAGAACCGACCACGGTTAACTAATTACGCACGTTTAACGGCCTTGTAAGTTTCTATAGACGTTTCATACCGAAATGTGCATTATTTATGAAGCCTCTTACCGATCAACTTCGTGGAAATGCGAAATTCATCAATCTGGACGACACCGCACGAAAATCATTCTCAACAATTAAGGAACTTATTGCTAAAGCAACATTGCTTGCTCATCAGAGCACTGAGGCACCCATTAGCATCGCAGTAGACGCATCCGATTCGGCAATCGGATGAGTCTTTCAACAGTGGGTTAACAACACCTGGAAACCTTTGGCATTTTTCTCTAGACGGTTGCTAGACACCAAATCGAGGTACAGCACATTCGGTAGGGAACTCCTAGCTATGTATTGTGCTATACGGCATTTTGAACACTATATCGAAGGCCATGATTTCACCCTTTTTACTGACCATTAACCTCTTAC